TTGCAACTTGAAAAATGAATCAATCTTTAAATTCCAAGCTTTTGGAGCTTATTTGAATCCATACAACGCTTTATGTAACATGTACACCATCCCTTTATGATTCGTTTTCAAAAATTCATGAGGTTGTGACACGTATACCTCTTCTTGTAATGGACCATTCAGAAATGCAGATTTTACATCCATATGCATCAGAGGCCAATGTATATTTGTAGCTATAGCAATCACCAATCTAATTGTTTCGTGTCTAGCTACAGAAACAAACACCTCAAATTTATCTAGTCCATATTTCTATAAAAAATCCTCTAGCTATTGACCTTGCTTTGTGTTTTCCAATTGATCCATCTGGCTTCAACTTTTTCTTGAAAACCCATCTGACATTGATGGATTTCTTCTCATTTGGAAGCTTAGTCAACTCTTAAGTCTTATTTCTTTCTATAGCCTCAAGTTCTTCTTTCATGGCCTTCAGCCATACTTCTTGAAAGTTTCTTAGTACTCATTGGTTCAGAGTCTACTAACATGACATATTGAACGACTTCTCCCTCTGAGTCTACTTTAGTATCTTGCAACATGTCAAACTTCGCAAATCTTCTTGGTATTTGTCTGATTCTCGGTGGCCTCTGAACTTGTTCAGAATCTTCAAATTCTGGAACAGTATTAGATATTGCACTACCTTCAGAAGTTGGACCACCTCCAGAAGATACACCTTTAAAAGTTATACCTTTAGAAGCATGACCACCAGAGTCTTGACTACCAGATTCTAGATCATCATCAGAATCTAGATCATCATCAGATTCACCTTCAAAATCTTAATCATCTTCTAACTATGATTCATCTTCAGAGCTTCCTTATAACTCTGACTCATCTTCAAAACCTTCAGATTCTGAATTATCTTCAGAAGTTACCTCAGGTGTTGACACTACACCATAGTTAGAATGAGACTTGATTTAATCCCTTGCTTCTGACTCATTCACAATGACGTCTTTGATGACTTCAACTTTATTAGTGACTGGACAATAAAGCTTGTACCCACATGTATTGTGGTACCCAATTAACAATATTATCTTGCTTCTATCATCTAGCTTCTTTCTCTTAGCCTCTGGAACATCTTTGTAACAAACTGACCCAAATACCTTAAACTGAGTCACACTTTGCTTATCTTCAGTCCACTTCTTAAATGGAATAGTTTTCTTCAGCTTCTTCATTGAACACCTATTGAGCACATATGTTGAAGTGGCAATAGCTTCTCCCCACAAGGTGTGAGGCGACTTCTTATCTTTCAACATGCTCCTTGTCATATCAAGCAAAGTTATATTTCTTCTTTTAGCAAGACCACTCTGTTGAGGAGTGTATAGAGCAGTAACCTCATATTTAATTTTGTTCTCTTCGCAGAACTTCTGGAGCTCTGTGGAGTTGTACTCATCTCCACCATCAGTTCTACGAACTTTCAATTTCTGACCACTATTTTTCTCAACCTTCACCTTGAACTTTTGGAACTCAGTAAACACCTCGTTCTTAAACTTGACGAGTGTTACCCATGTCGTTCAATTAAACTCATCCACAAAAGACACAAAATACTTATTTCCTTCAAGTGAAGGTATTGGAAATGGTCCACATACATCAGAATGAACAACTCCCAAAGCATATTTTGCTCTTGAGGCTACTTCTGATACAAATGGGAATTTGGGTTTCTCGTGTTTCATGCATATATCACATGAATTCTCAGGCTTCATAATCTTAGGAATGCCATGTACCAGCTTCTTAAAACTCAGATGCCCTACGCTTCTGAATTTCAAATGCCTCAATATCTTGTGCCATAACTCATTATCACCTTTAGCACCTTCTGCACTAAGGCATTGAGTTTCAGCTGTCTCCACACTCACCTTGAATGTTCTGTTACTTCCCTACTCATATTGCATAATCAACTTCTGATTGCAATCATACACCTTCAAGAGATTGTTCTTCATAATAACTGAGAAACCTTTCTCAATGATCTGACCTACACTCATCAGATTTCTCTTCATACCAGAAACGTACCAAACATCTTTTATCAGAATGATTCTTATCTCTGACTTTGACATTTCCGATACATTCTACATTAAGGTATTTATCATTAGCACATATGATCTTTCAGTGATTTCAGCAGCCATTGTCCATATACCACTCATCCACCAAATACCTACCATTAGACTCAGAAGCCATCAATAGCATAAGTTCATCATTAAAATCTTCTCTGACTATTTTTGCTTCTTCTGACTTCCTCTCCTTGTTTGACCAATAATCCTTAGCAAAGTGGTCAAATTGCTTACAGCAGTGGCATTGGACCATCTTCTTGTCAAATGTCTCCTTTCCCTTCTGATGTTTCTTCTCATCAAAATTGGAGGTTTCTGACTTCTAAGAACCATTGTGTCTCTTCTTGGCCTCTTACTAAGACTGTTTTTGATACTTCTTATCAGAAGTCACCTTCATAGCATGCTCTACCTCTCTTAGAGGTTCTCTCAATCACACATAATTCTTGTGCCTCTAGACTACTTTGAGTTCTTCAATTCTCATGGTTTTTAGATCTTTAGAATATTCAATTGCTACAATAATGTAATAAAATTGAGGAGTAAGAGATCTCAATACCTTCTTAATGATTACTTGTTCAGACAAAGTTTCTCCATAAGATTGCATGTCATTTGTGATCAGAAATGTAATCAGGTACCTTCTCATTGTTCTTCATGTTGAGATTCTCACACTGATTATATAGAGACTGAAGCTTCACCTTCTTCACTGATGCATCGCCGCTGTAGCATTATGTCAACATATCCCATGCATCCTTCGTCGTCATTGAATCATAGATTTTCCCAAACACGTTCACATCCATACAATGATGGATGTAGAACAACACTTTCTAATCTTTCTTCCCCATATCTCTCTACATGTTTCTATGTTCCTCAGTCACATCTACTGCAATCAGAACATAATATTCGATAACAAGATCAAGAACATCTTGAGCACTGAACAACACACACATTTGAATCACCCATTGATTCCAATTATTTCCATCAAACACCAGAAGCTTACATTCAAATTGTTTCTTCGTTCATCTTCGTTCTTGAGCACTAAAACTCAAACAGATCTTAGATATCACCAAACACTTGTGTTTACCAATCCCTACCACAAAATTAAGAAATGCAATTTTGTTACGATTCTGATCGTGAATTCAACACAAATTCAAGAAAAATGAAATCAATTACACACGTCTCACGTACACTCGTGTTTCTATTTGAATCGAACTGGAGCTCTAGATACCAAATATTGTAGCACAAGGTTGAAGATGAAGATGAAAGAATAGAGAGAAAGAGAAAAGAAAGAAAACAGTTGTAACAAAATTTTAGAGAGAGAAACTCTATTGTAAAAATTTCGTAAATTCACACTTGTGGGCAAACAATAAGTTGTCGTGTAGGCACAGTCTAAAGCTAAACAATAAAGCTAAATTTTCATGTGGACAAACAACTACTAAATCCATAAGCTTAGACACAATTTCTAGAACAACAATGCAACCTCATAAGCTTGTGCTTCTGAGTCAAAGCACCTTCTGATCATTATCTTCTGAACATAAATCACTTCTAACAAAAACGTGTATACAATTTTTTAGGTGTGATTCTTACTATTTTTCAATAAAGATATGATAAATGTACCTAAATATCATTTAAGGAGTGAAAATAGGAAAAAATTGCATATGTAAAAGAAAATTATACACTTGTCATATTTTCATTCGAAAATAGTAAGAACCACACCAAAAAAATTATATATAAATTTTATCCTTCATTTTATTCATAATACAAAAATCTCTTAATTTATGTAAATTCCCTAGAATTCTCTTTAAAAGTATTGAAGAAAAGGGTTTACATAAATTTTTCAATTATAATCTATATTATTAAAGTATTCTAAAAATTAAAATATATTAATAATAAATAAATATTTATTATTTTATGCAAAATCATTTTTTAATGCTAAATATTTTTTGTTTTTTGTTTAAATTTGAGGTGTTTTTTCTCTTTCTTTCAAACTCTGAAACAAGACAGTTTTTTAGGGCGTGGAAGGAGAACTACTGCGCAGGATTTAAGATTTGTCATTGTTGAATTGTGACTAAAAGAGATTCATAAAATATTTGTTAGAGTTAAATCATGGTTAAGTATTGCATTTATTTGTTATGTCATAGCTAAACTACAATTAATTTCCGCAAAACCTCCAGAAATTTGAAACGGCTATGCTCCATGAAGATACAATAGAAAGAGATTGGAACAAGTTTTGGATTGAAATGGATTCAACCAATATTGTGCAAGCTTTCCATAACCAATCTCTGTTGTCTTGACAGTTAAAGTATCAATATTGAGTTGCAAGTGGATTGTAAAGTGGTGCTTCAAAATATTGAATCCAGTTGTAATGGTAGCCTACCATGATGGAGACTAGTTCAAACAATCTCAAGACTTCTCCTTCACAAAGCAGGTACAATTTCTAAAGACTATTAATTTTGTTAAATTTTGATACTTGCATATAATTAATAATAAGACATTTTTTATTATGTTTATTTTTTCAAAACAATAAAATAATAAAGTACGTAAAATAGATAATCTATTTGATTAAATGTGACTCAATTGTGAGACTGTGTTAAGTATAAAGATACAATTCTACAAATGAAAATATCTACACTGTCCATCAACACTATGAAAATACCTTTTGATAAAAATGCAACTATTTTAAGTGTGCTAAAATATGAATTGTTATGAATAAAGTCACAAAAATGTTGTCACCTGATAATTTACATGATCTCCAAATAAAGTTTCCATTTTCAACAATCATTTTTGGTAGAGGACTGTCAAGGCATTGTGTAAATGTTTTCTTATAGGATCAAATGCCTTCTTGTTAAACAGTCGTCTCAGAATCAAATTCCTCATTCTAAGACCAAAAGGCATGACATATGCTGTTGATTCAGTACTTGTTCCGACACGGAAGGTTTATGAATTATCGCGTATTGTAGGGAAACTAACTCCGTCCTTCAGATGGCTCACTGCTGTAGGACATAACCATTTCAGCATGGTTGGACCTAAAATCTGGTCAAAAACATATGACCAAACATAATTTTAGGCAAGAACTGTTAGCAGTAGTTGACATATAAAATGGTCACAAAGAATAGGGACGGACCAATGTGATATTTTTGTATGCACCATTGTTGTATGGATGCCGGTAGCTCTGTCCAGACTTAGCAGCCAGCCATTTTGCACGGTTTCCTTCATAATACTAGAGAAAGCACAAAATGAGATGTTTCAAGACACTTATAAAGACACAAGATATTTTAATGGAATATATTCAATTAAAACCATACCTCTATGGTTGTCATATTATGAAGAATAAGGTAGACATGCCATCCAGTGAGAGACAGGAGGGTTAGTGTCAAGCCCACCACCATTGTTCCATACATGACCTAAACATCACCGTTCAAATATTTTCTGTTAGTATATAATTTAAGAAAACTAAGGATTAACAAATACGGTTATATGAACTTTTATGTAACTACTCGGTTCAATGATAAAAGAGTTATGGTTCAAAAAAAAGACTCATTTTGTCATCAGAAGACCATGTCAGTATTTATTAAAATGGAAGTCCCATTTTCTAAATGATAAATAATGGCACAACTTTTTCCACTTAATGTGACCGACTACATGGATCAAACAATATCACGAGGTTCAATCATAAATTACATCCAACGGAAAAACATTTAAATCTAAATTGTTTTTAATGGTCTGATTCATAGTTTTCCTTGATTCATTTGGTCTACCGTCTATGGTTAAGCTTCTAAAACAATGAAAGTTTAAGCCGAAAAGTTGCTTTGCTTCATTGTTTAGTTATGAAAATAAGTGTAGACAGAGAAAGGAGTCTAACAATAAACCCTTAAATTCTTTTATACTTGGTGAAGCCTCATTAGAGACCGTGAGGTCATTGAGACAGTGAAAAGGTCAAGATTTCAAAGTATAGGTGGTTATCCAAGCAGTCTAACTTTCTCGTCAATAGCCAGGTCTATTCCCTTGAGCAGACTAATCCTCAACTTGTCGAAACTGTCCCTATTCCCTAGTCTCCTCAATCCGGCTGGATAAAGCTCAATGTGAATGGGGGGTGTATCGCCAATGGTTTCACTTGATGAGGACTGATCATCAGAAACCATGAGTTATTCTCTCAGTCTGGCTGCTCACAAGAGAGAAGTAGTTGAGCTCCACGCATTTCTGGCTGAAGTTTTGGGTAATCGTTGGTGCTTGGGAATCATCCGTGACCTGCAGCTGGAGAATGTCCTCATTGAGTCCGGTGCAAAAGCGGTTTTGACAGCACTTTGGGCAAGGCTAGTATGGCAGGTATCCAAGACTGGCGTTTCATAATTACAGCAGAGAAAGGATGATTTAATATCCTTGTCTAAATTTGTAAGCTCTAGAAATTAGGCGGGACTACCACAACAAATCTATCATCTTCTTTGTGATGCTTCTTCTATCAGCTTACCTAAGAGCTATTTTCACCCATAAAAAAAAAAAGAAAAAAGACCCTATAGATGATATGATGGTTCCTAATTATTAGAATGAATTTCCAAAAAGCATGTTGGGACCTTAGGGCAGGGGAGGAGTGCACAGCCTTGAAGATCTGCAGAATTTAAGCTGTAATTAAGGTATGATTCCCTATTCGTTCTAACAGACTATCAGGCTCCTAAAATTAACTTGAAACTTTAGATTAAGTTGCAAGTCTGTAACACCTGTGTTGCATATGGCCTTCTTATCATTTCCACTTTGAATTTAATAAAATTTTAGCTATGGGGAATTGCATTATATAGGGAATAATACAGCTTATTGCATTAATTACAAATGAAAATATACTATTCTATTCTAGTATTCTATAGAATACTGTCTTTCTATATCTACATATATACAAATATCAACATAGGTATATGTTTGAAAATAACTATATTTTAGGTAGAATCTGTGAAAAATAGAAATCAAAATTTTCTGAATGTGCTCGAGTGATTAAAGCACTCAGCAACCATGATATTTATATACACTATATAATTAATTACATATTATATTTACAAGGAGAAATAAATAATAGTCCAACTTCCTAAATGCATGAATCAAAATATACACGAACCTTAGATTTAAATGCTCATTTTAGTGGAAAACATACAATGTGCATCTCGATTGATCCATCAGCCTTATATTTTAAGGTGCACACCCATTTGCATCCAACTGGCCTTATTCCTTCTGGTAAAGTCACTAAGTCACAAGTTCCATTCTTCTTCATTGTGTCCATCTCAATATTCACGGTTTGTTTCCATTTTCATCAGACAATGCCTCAAAACATTAGTAGGTACGAAAGTAGCGTTTAGGTTTGTAAGGTTCGTAAGGTTTATAAGGAAGACTCTACGGGTAGGTGAGAATTATTGAAAAGTGTAAGAGTCCAACATCGGACAATATATGGTCTGAACATGAGTTTATAAGTGGGAGTAATCCTCACCTTACAAGCCGGTTTAAAATCGGTTTTGTAGGGTCGAGTTAGGCCCAATCACACATTCTAAGATGGTATCAGAGCCTCATCTAAGATCCATTGGACCACCCACCATTTAGTTCCACGCCCCAACCCTAATTCCTGGGCGTGAGAGGGGGTGTTAAGAGTCCTACATTGGACAATATATGGCCTGAACATGAGTTAACAAGTGAGAGTAATCCTCACCTTACAGGCCGGTTTAAAGCCGGTTTGTTAGGGTTGAGTTAGGTCGAATCACACATTCTAAGAAAAAGAAAGATGGTTTGAAAGGGGATATAAAGGTTGTTTGGTGCATTTTCTGGTACCTTTTCTAATAGCAATTGGAAGGTCTAGGTCATCATCTATTATTTGGGTCATCATTTTATCTTGTAATTCAGAAGAATTAATTACCTCATTTGAAGGAGTCGAGTCAGACTCTTGAACTTGTGTCGATTCAGGAATGGCCTTGGATTTTCTCATGTAAACCAGATTCTTTCCATATTTTACATCCACTTCAGGTCCAAGTTCAACTACTGATGTATTTGATCGATCTGACTCAACTCCTAGTTCTTCAGCCTCAGATAGGGCTAGTACAAGTGTGTTTAACTCAAGACCAGAAAGATTGAGTCTATTTGACTCGAAATTGGAAGAATTAGGTGGACTCGAGACCAGAGAGATAAGAGATCGAGTGTATTTGAGTCATGGCCAGAATGACCAAATGTATTTGACTTAATACTAGACAGATTAAGTGTATTTGACTCGAGACCATAAAGACCAAGATTTTCAAGTTTATCTTCCTTAAAATTCTCCCCCTGAAGATAAGGTTGAGTCAAGTACGGTTCCTCCTCATAAAAGGTAACATCCCGCGACATAATATTTTTTTAGATGGAGGATGAAAACACTTATTTCTCTTTTGAGTAGAGGAATACCCGACAAAAACACATTTTAGGGCTCTAGGGTCGAGTTTCTTTCTGTCTTGACTATGCACATGGACAAATGAGACACACCCAAAGATTCTAGGTTTAAGATTACTACTTCCCGACAAATTTGGATAAAAGGAAGAAAGAACATCCATATGACTCTTGAACCCTAATACTCTAGAGCATAATTGATTAATAAGATATGTGCTAGTGAGAATTGCCTCCCCCCATAAATATTTTGAAACATTTTGATGAAACAACAGTGTTCGGGTTTGGTCTAATAGATGCCCATTTTTCCTTTCTGCGATTCCATTTTGTTGTGGTGTTTTAGCACAAGAAGACTCATGGACAATTCCCTCTTTTTGACAGAAAGAAGTAAGAACATGATTGAAGTACTCTTTTCCATTATCAGACCTAAGCCTTTTGATGTTTACTCCAAATTGATTTTTAATCATGTAAAAAAACTTTAGGAAAGCAGTACTGACGTCAGACTTGTTTAGGAGTAAAAACACCCAAGTAACCCGGATACAGTCGTCTATGAAAGTAACAAACCACCTAGCATCTGCTACATTTGGATTGGTAAAGGGACCCCAAACATCCGAGTGGATATGATAGAAGGGGGAAAGACGACTTTTGTTGTTTAATGGAAAAGGTAAACGCTTATGTTTAGCAAACTCGCACACATCACAATGAAGACTTTCAATATCTACCTTATTGAATAAAGATGGAAACAAAACTTTAATGATTCCGAAAGAAGGATGACCTAATTGACAATGAAAAAGAAAGATTTTTTTCCTTTTTTGAGAGTACTGACTTTGACATAAATGAGTGGGACAAGTGGACTTTTGTACACTGACTCGATTCTTAAAGATAATAAAGGTCATTCCTTTCTCTAGCACGTCCAATCGTCTTTCTCGACTCCTTATCCTAAAACATACAACAATCATTATGAAAAGTCACTACAGGATAATTTGTTTGTAAGTTTTTTTATGGAGACAAGGTTCATGGATAGTTTCAGAACATGGAGGGTTCTTTTAGGATTATAGAATGATTTATTTGGATATCTCCAATGTCAGCTACAGTTACAAGAGTATCATCTACAGTAGAAAAAATTTTATTACTGGGACAAGGGAAATATGTGGAGAACTATTTCGAAGAGGGTGTCATGTGGTTTGTGGCTCCTGAATCTAATATCCAAAATAAGCAAGAAGGTGGTTCTGAGACATGAAATCCAAATGAGAGTGAAATTTTTCCATACTATTGGTCATAAAGGAAACAAAAGCAACCACCAAATATTCATGTATAAAATATCAAAGAAAACAAGATTCAATGAAGAAATCAACCCAGAAAATATAGGCACAGCGTCTAGTACTGTGCAGACGGCTGCTGAAAAATGTGCAGAGCTGTACCGACGGTGGCAGAAAACTGTACGAACGACTTTCGGAAAGTGTACAGACAGCGCCTGGACAGACTACTACCGAAAGAAGTACGAAATTGTGCAAATGGAGTCCGGAAAGAACAAACAATGTTTAATTGGAAAAACTTGACAGCAAGTGTTGTCCAGTCAAGATTTAAGGGTTCTGGCAACATAAAAATGTTCAATCAGATTTCTAAATAATGATTAGCGGAAATAGAGTCCCCTAGATTAGGAGCTCTGATACCATGTGAAAAATAGAAATAAGAATTTTCTAAATGCATGAATCAAAATATACATGAACATAAAACTTAAATGCTCATTTTAGATGGAAACATACGATGCATTTTTTCTATTTCCAACTGAATCTTATGATTCAAATCATGATTATACAACTTGTTGGTACTCAAAAAAAAAAAAATCTAGGAAAAGAACGGATACAGTTGTTCGAACATATTGGAATAAAGCCCAACAATTAACATTAATTTAGTTGGAATACCTCAAGACAAGAGAAAACAAAAAGTAAAGAGAGCGGAAAATAAAAGCATCAGTGCAATAGTATAATGAGAAGTTAGAACTTAGCAGAACTGCAAAAGTGAAACAGAGATTATTTTTAAAGATGGAAGTTTTGCAGCTGTACACTAAACTAATATTCTATACATCACTTCAACAATGCAAATGAAAAAATTTGTGGATTCATTTGATTAAGGGAAGAAAGAAGAGGGCCTGAAAGTGTGCACGAATAATTCGCATTGCTCTTTGCAAGAAAAATCATTTAGGCTAATTTCACCATTTAAGTAGCATTGCTAACAAGATGAGGATGAATTCTAAAGAATTGATGGTTACAGCATCACATCTGCAGGAGATCGTTGTTTAGGGGCAGCAAGTGCGCAATTGTTGTTCCATTTCCATTCTCTCTTTGCCAAGTTCTCGAAGAATGAAAGAAAAAATCATTAGGAGAGAAGAATGACATAGATGAAATAATATTCAACTAGTATTCATGATTTCAAAAGGATGTACATAATGCGGGCCAAAACAGAATTTCATTTATTTTTAGATTTCTCCCAAACAGACGAAGCTTCCTATTTCCAATGGTCTTGATCCTGGAGGTTGGCAGACAAAAGCCGAAGAATACTTTCATATATATCAAACATCCATAAAACTTTCAGCTCAGGTGTGTATGGAGGGAGACGCTTTCCTTTTTTTGAATTTATTCAGGTTATCCATCGATTACTTTGGTATGTTTGGTGGAGAAATCGATGGAGCAATTTTCATGGCCTTGAAACAGAAAATCCTTTATGAGAAGTTGGCAGCTTTGAAGCAAAGGGATCAGCTCAAGAAACATCACTGAGTTCGGGTATTTTGCTTTGTTGCTTCAGGCTAGCTAAAGCAACAGTACATTGGACATTTTCTGATTGGATTAAAGGAAAATATTAGGTGTTGGGTGCATCTCCACAACCTCAACATCCAATTGCAAGTCATGTAACTACTAACTAGCCAGGGACATGAAGGTTGCTCGACAACAGACATCGATCAATATTGGAACCCCGGAAATAAAACAAAAAATCTATTTCATTTCCATGAGCCCATAAACAAGGGAATAAAATTAGGCGTGAAGGCCACAAATTAACATCCAAGACATAGACAAAGGGAGGAATTCATTGTGATCAGCAGTTTGGGCCTAGCCACAAATATACTCAGACCTAAAACTTCCTGTGGCCATATTAGGGGAGGACAAGACTTGGAAGGAGAAACACAACGGTAGAATGCTAGAAGACGACGAGGAAATGGAATATGAAGAAGGGTTATGCAGTGTAGTGAAATCTCAGAGATGATCCAGAAGATGCAAAATAGAACAAAGGAGACATAGCTTAAATATACACACCGGCAACTTATATCACGCATTAATCTTGAACGTGCATCTTATGTAGGATTTACCCTTCCCAAGTCTCTACATGGCGGCGATTTTATAGCACAAGGATGCCCTTTTTTGCGTCTTAGTGATAGAAATTAGAAATAGATGGTGCACCAATGTGAAATGAAGGTGATTTCAGAATCTTACCAAATCAATACAAAGGATAGAGTAATTCAAGATATTATGACTCAAAATTTACCAGTCACCAACTATAAAGCTCGAGTATGATGACACTAAAATGTAATTGCAGCAAACTAATGAGCTATAAATCTATTAGTATATATTAAGAAATCCATAAATTTGCATACAACTTACATAAAAGAACTTAAGAGAACTCTCTTTAATGTGCCCCCATTCCTTCTGAAGTACACAGCTTATAAACACAACCTACACAAAACCAAACCTTATATCAAATGTGAATCCTGTCCATTAAAAACAAGTAGACACTAGATCGAAAAAACATACCGTAGAATAAACACTTGCTAGGGTGGCATATACTATAAAATCAAAGAAAGCCTTATAATTCCAATAACCAACACAGTTATTAATCCACAAGCAGTGATGATCCTGGACCAAATTCACCAATCAAACAAAAAGTTCAAAAAAATCCTTAAATTGCAAACTCAAACACAAAATGGAAGCTTGGAAAGCAAAGCAACTGACCTACCATTTTCAGAACACACTTTCTGCAAACCCGACAATGATGAGTCCTGGGAGGCTTGTAACCAAAGCATTTATCACATTTATTCTGTTCTGCATCCTGCAACAAAATTGTAAACCTAAAACCAAACACTAGCGACTAAAAGAAGCATGACCCATGAAAGGGTTTGTGAAAAAGCTTACATCTTTAGCATTTGTGGATTCAACATCGGGGTAAAAGGAAGGAGGGACATGACCAGGATCAGTGAGAACGCAGATAAAGAAAGAGAAGAGGGATAGAGAAGCGAAGAGAGTGAAGAAGAAGGAATTCAAGGTGCCTGGGGAAGTGCGTAAACCGACCCAATCATCGAGTAAGATGAAGATTGTTGTGTAATAGAGAAAAAGCATCACCGACAATACTCCTAATACGGGAAGAGACAGAAACCTTTCAACCTTCATCGTTGAATTCATGTGTCTTGTGTTTGTAACTCACACAAACACACCTAAGAATTTTTCTTCTATTTTTTTTTCTTGATTTCCAAATTTACAAGAAAAGGTCTTTTTTTTATTTTAATCAATTAGTGACTTAATTTTAGATTTAGTATATGTTAAATTTACCTTTAATAAAAAAGTGTTTACATTTTGGTATAAATGTATTCACTTATTTAATTTACCAAAATGAATGTATTGGTTTATTCATTTAAAAGTTGTATACAGAATATTACCATGAAGAGAAATGTATTTTGTTTAATCACAAATTTTGAATTAGAATATATAACAAATTCGAACCCCCAACATTAGATTAGACTATATTAAAGATATTAGATTGGAGACCAACATCAAATTCAAAAACACATATTGCGAGGTTTTAAAAATTACTATTACTTTATGAGTTTAATAGTAATTACTATTATTTTATGAGTTTAATAGTGATGCGCTTTCGATGTAAAATGTTTTATATTATGCATTATAATCATGTATAAATATTTTTTATTAATAATTAAAATTAAAATTAAAATTAATTTAAAATTTAATGGTTATTATTCACTCACGTTATAAATTTTTTTTACAATATCAGTATATTTCAACTAAATTCTTATTTTATTTACACGATGAAAAATATATTTTCATTATTTTTAGATATGTTTGTTTCGATGTATTTATTGTTATTTATCTATTTTTAAGATTTTTTATTAGAAAAATGATTAGGGATAGCATGGAGACCCAAATTTACGGGGGTCGCCCATATCGAAATCGGAGTCAACGGGTGAAAACACGAGTTGACTGGGTTTAGGTTCGGGTTTGGGTGTCACTCGATATTTCGGGTGCAGGTTTGGATAATGTGAAACCTGCGTCCGAAACCACGCCCGTTTAGACATGAAATTATATAAGTGTCCCTAAATATATATAAGTGTAGCAAATTTGGGTTTCACTTTCAAAAAGAAAACCAAACGGGGTTACTCTCTCCGATCTCAGACTCACGCAGTCACGCATATACACCCTCATGTTCACCATCAACGTCCTTCATCATCCACTGGACGCATCCCCTCTGTTATTCCTCTAACAACAGCCACAACAACCTTTCTTCAGTCATATGTACCATCATATTAACGTCAATATCCCCATCCCACAGTCAGCATCTCCACCGACCAGCAACAACCCCGTCACCCTCCTGCTCACCTCCGCCAGCGATTACCACCAACCAACATACAACCATTGTCACCCTCCATCAATCTCACCACCGGCAGACAACACAACAACACTGCAGCTGTCAATATCCCTTCATTTGTTCATCATCATCTGGTAACTATGATTTGGTTTAACTTTGATTTGGTTGAAGTGATCATTTGAAAATTTGTGTTGAATTTCTACTGGAATTGATTTTGTTTATTTTTGTATCTAAAATTGGCATTTAATAGAAGAGATTGTGTATCCATAGCAGTATATATTATGATGCTTTAATTTTTTAGGATGCTTTAATTTTTTATTGAGAGGGAGAATTGAGATTTAACAAAAGAGATTGTGTATCCATAGCAGTATATCATTTTTTTCATTTATGTTGTGTCTTCTGTTTCTTTGTTGTACAAATAATATTGTATTGATTCGTCTATGTCACCATGTTGAGGCTAAAAGCAGTCAATAAAATACTTTTCCTAACTAAATGATGGTTCTAATTGGCTACAAGTGCAGAAGATCAAGAACTTGTAGAGGGGATGTTGGATTTGATAAAGGTATGATGTGTGTGTTGGCTGAAGATTTTGATAGTGTTATTTAGAATTCAAAAAGAGCTAGAAGTTCTGATCGAAATGGAATTAAAACACCACGCTTCGAAAGTGCAGAAGCAGTGTTTCGAATGAGTGTGTCAAAGCTTGAAGCTTCGAACGGTGATCATGGGAGCATATCCAAAGGGGTCTCGAAACAGCAGCGAAGCTAGGTCTGAGAAGAGCGTTCGAAACAGAGAAACACCAAAGCATTTAAAATTTAAATGAAAGCGGGACTTTCAAAGTTTGAAAGTTATGTGTTGGAGCATTTGGGGACACGTGGAAAGATGAAAGGAGCATTGTCTTGCATGTTCGAAACGTGGCATGATCTTGTAGCGAGACCGTTAGGGTCGAGTTAGTATAAATAGAAGTCTTAGTGTTAGAATTTCAGTGTGTCATATCTGTTATACAAAATACTCAATAACATTCAAACTACCACATGGCAAGGGAAACGAATGCAAGAGAAATGTATGTATGATAGCACCATGTATTTCTAATTTAATAAAAGCCTTTTTACTATTTCCAGCACTTTCCTTCTTTTTCTTTCTGTCGAATAACATTTGCAAGTTTCTTTATCTACTGTCTTTTCATTTCAAAGTCTTTTCTTCAAAGTTTTACATTTTACTGCTTTCTTTATATTTCGAGCACTCTATATTTCAGAGAACTTTTACGCTCTCAATGTCTTTACTTTCAAGTATTATTCTTCAAACATGTACTTTCACTTAAAGTCATTTCTAGATTTCTTGCATTAAACGCTTTCTTCACATTTTAAACTTCCACATTCCAGAAACCTTTTGTGTTAAATGTTTTATGGGTCGAAACCAGTTACTTCATTTTCCATACAGTTTTATATGTCTTTTCAATCAGCATTACAATTAGCAATTATTCGTATAACTTAGTTTTCACATACATTTTGACCATATTTTTAAACTCTTAGAGAGAGGGATCGAAATAAACCAAACATTTGTACAATAGCACCCATGAATAATTGTTCGATTGTGAGAGTAACCTTAATATCCAAGGAGTCCTAGGATCAATCTAGTCGATCCTGTGAGTTACCAAAGAGATTGAGTAGCGTTAACAAAGATTATTCGATAGTTTGGAAGACTAGCGGTTGTTTACCAGAAATCACTGGAAACAAATTGGCACACCCGGTGGGACCAATAGTTGGATATCAGAATTAAGGATTGAACCTAAGAAGTTTGCTGTTTTATGAACCTGAGAAGTGGTAAGATAACCAACAGCAACCAACCTTTATCCAGAAGAAAACGTTTGGACAAAATGTCTAATTCAGACAATCAACAAGGAGACCAAGGTGGCCCACAGGCAACAGGCACCAACGCGTCCATTTCGAGCGGAACATCTAATGTAATCCCTTCGAATGCACAGTCTGTTGCATCTTCAACCAGTAACATGGCCACCAACGGAGTAAGTGGCATATCAACCAACAGTTCGATCTTAGGAAATACTGGAACTATGGGCTACCCTGGGGGATTCGTTCCGCCACCTGGGACACAATCCCATTTCGCCACTCCATCAACTAGACCACCCGGCTTCGATGGGAATAGAATTAGAAGTTCTTCTTACGGAATGCCAACATCTTTTATGGCAGGTTTGCACAATTCCACATCGAATTCATCCCCACAACTAGGATCTGGGTCTGGGGCAAACCAATTTATGTCAAATAACCAAGGGTCAGTGGGTTATAGCACGTTGCCTATCCTAACCACAGATAACCAGTTGGCTTTTAGGCAATTGATGGATGACAGCAACCACAATATGATAGGGGTGTTAGCGCAAACCATGCAGGAAATATTCGCCCCAATAGTTCAGAATGTGACTGTGACGAACAGGGAAAACGCTGACAATATGAGTCGAATAGCAGATTTCTTTGCTCCCACAGAAAGGCGTAGGCAGAACCAGGCGGGATTTCGAACAAACGTGCCTGTTATAGAACAAATTGCCAACGACCCAATTCATAGACCACCCAGAGAAGAGGTTAACTTAGGGGCCAGAGCACCAAGGTTAGAAGCCCCAATAATTCCGGGCCCACAAAGGGAAGTTATGGAACCAGGGGCAAGGATCGAAAGACTAGAAGCCCCAGAATTTCGAGGAGAACAACCTAGGGGAGTTGTTTTGGTTGGTCGAAACCAAGATGCCGACGCTGTCGTTCATAGGATTCGAAACGATAACATCTTGGCAGAAAATAATCTGACCACCATGATAGAGAGGATCATGACCCAAAACGGCCTCAATATGGGAATGAGGAGGCCAAATTACGCTTCTCCTATATTAGATTGTATAATGCATACTGATTTACCAAGGGGATACAAAGTCCCTAAATTTACAAAGTTCGCTGGGGATACCAACGAGTCAACAGTCGAACACATAGCGAGATATTTAACCGAAGCGGGGGATATAGCCAATAATGAAGATCTCAGAATCAAATATTTCCCAAGTTCCTTGACAAAAAATGCCTTCACTTGGTTTACCACGTTGCCTCCTGGGTCTGTTGACACTTGGACCCTTTTAGAGAGATTATTCCATGAACAATTTTACATGGGACAATCGAAAATAAGTCTGAAGGAATTGGCCAGTGTTAAGAGAAAGTTCACTGAACCCATTGATGACTATTTGAATAGATTTAGGCTGTTAAAATCCAGATGTTACACAGTAGTGCCTGAGCATGAGTTAGTCGAAATGGCCGCTGGGGGATTGGATTACTCTATTCGAAAGAAATTAGATACTCAGCATTTGAGAGATATGGCTCAGTTAGCCGATAGGGTTCGACAGGTCGAAAGACTAAAAGCCGAAAAAGCCCGAGTCTTTAAGAATAATAAGAAAGAAAGGATTTCCTATGTTGGAACTGAGGAAGTAGAAGAATATCCTGAATTCGAATTCGAAGAGGTCGAAATCGACCTCGCTGAATTAAAACAGGCCCCGCCTTACTCCTGCAAAATGTTAGTTCCTACGAAAGGGAAAGATATTGTTGAAAATGAGAAAAGTGATAAGTTTCCAAAGAAGATTTACACCTTCGATGTCACTAAATGTGACGAAATCTTTGACTTGCTTGTCAAAGATGGCCAACTAATTGTGCCATCAAATGTCAAAATACCCCCTTTGGACCAGAGGAAGAAAAGGGGATTTTGCAAATATCATAGTTTCCTAGGCCACAAGACCTCACAATGTTTTCTTTTCAGGGATTTGATT